AATGTTTTTAATTGTGTACCAGTTTAACGTTGAAAATTACTTATGATTTTAGCAAAGTTACTGTTGTTCATAAACCGAGCATTAGATTCAAAGTTCATCATAAAAAGGTATATTCTGATAACTTCAACGACTCAAGTATCTACAAGTATCAATGCGATCGATGCGATAGCACTTACGTAGGCGAAACGGGACTAAACATAAACATTAAGATCAAATAACATAACAATCCCACATCACACATTTACGAACACAGTACAACAAATCAACAATCAATTAACGTTGACAACTTTAAAATATTATGCCATGAGAACAACATTAATAGAAGAAAAATAAAAAAAGCATTAATTATTCGTGATCTAAAACCTAATTTAAATGAAAACACAGGTGTCGCCCTATATGTTTTCTGAAGTGGAACAAAATGCTCGCGCAGTATTTCACAAAATGGAGACAGTTTACCTCATGATAGCAACACGAGTAGTCGAAACGTAGTGAAAAAGTTAAATAAAAATAAATAATTCACCCGAAAGCTGTATCTTTGGACTTTTATTCAAATAACCTGTTGAAACAATATAGATTTATTAGTTTCACGTTTTGTTAGATATTTAAATAACATGTTTTAGCCTTCTGTGGGTTATTTATATAACCTGTTGAAACAATATAGATTTATTAGTTTCACGTTTTGTTAGATATTTAAATAACATGTTTTAGCCTTCTGTGGGATATTTATATAACCTGTTGAAACAATATAGATTTATTAGTTTCACCTTGTTTTAGATATTTAAATAACATGTTTTAGCCTTCTGTGAGATATTTATATAACCTGTTGAAACAATATAGATTTATTAGTTTCACCTTGTTTTAGATATTTAAATAACATGTTTTAGCCTTCTGTGGGATATTTATATAACTTGTTGAAAGTATATCAATTCATTAGGCACACTTTCTGTAAGATATATATATAATATGTCTTATCTTTCTGTGAAAGATGTACAGAACGTGTTTATGAACTATTAAAGTAAGGGTTTTTAGTTCTGTTTGAGACCACTTTGTAACCATTAATTGAAAGAGTGGATGTTGGGTTTCTTACAAAGTTTTGAAATATAGAATGGTCTATTTCCAGAACAAGAATATTTTAGGTCATTTGTTAGGGTAATTTTCATCTTATAATATCAGAGAAAAGGGGTGGAGGTTGGGTGTTTTATATAGGAGAAATTTAGGGTGATATACTTCTACTTTAAGTTTATATGTCTGAATTTTCCCTAAACCATGTGACAGTTATCTGTGGCCACAAATATGTTCCGTTATGAGTTAATAAAAACAACGACAGGAAATGGAAAATGATTTTAATTTTTTGTCTCATTGTGAGCGTGATTTGTATTAATTTCATTCTTCTGTTATAGTTCTTATTTAATAACGATACACACACATACATATAAGTCTCTGGTAACACTTAAAGTGTCCGAACCTCAGTACAGTTGGGATTTTTTTTAAATTATATTTTATTGATAAGTGGTTAGGCTTAGATCAATTTATTTCAATATTCAGAAAAATTGGATATTTTAAGTTACGATTTTGTAGAATTGCACGTTAGAGAGAACCCGCACATCTAAGAAGTAAATTTTTTACGAAAATAACACATATGTATATCTGTAATGCTGTTTCAACCAGTAAACAAAAACAAATATATATATGTTTACGTATTAATCAAATAATAGAATCAAGCAAAGATTTAAACGAACAAACCAGAAATAAAACTAAATATTACAAAAAGTTAAACCTAAAATAGTAACGAGTAACACGTACTTGAAATAAAACAAGATCAAGAAATGTCTTAAACCTAAACATATCCCAGACTCTCCAGACAGTGTTGACCTTTTAAAAGATCAAAGGTTGTTACTCTCAATTGTACTCCAGACTCACCAAAGAGTTATGGCCTCTGAAAAGTCCATGATAGTTAATTTTAGTTGTACTTCAGAGAGTGCTGAACTCTGAAAAGTTATTGGTAACTAATCTTAGTAATCCAGAGAGTGGTGACCTCTGAAGTTCAACTGTAGTTAATCATAATTGTACTCCAGACGGTGGTGACCTCTCAGTAGCTATAATAATTTACTATGTTCGCTGACGTCGGAACGAAGACTTGAAACTATAATAATACCGTTTATAATATACTATATTGATTTGTTTAATTGAATACGATAAAATGTAGTAAAACTTTAGTCCTAGCACCAAAGATTAACTAATGTATCGTAGATTAATCGTTTGTGTGTACAGTAACGGATGGGTATTAGGGTAAGACTTTAGGTTAAACGTTGGTGTATACCTAACAGTAAAGGGTTTGTATTAGTGTAAGATTTTAGATTAAACGTCGGTGTGTATACCTAACAGTATAAGGTGTGTATTAGTATAAGATTTTATATTAAACGTTGGTGTGTATTCCTAACAGTGATAGATATGTATTAGTGTTATGTTAAATGTTTGTGTGTAAATAAATTATGCGTGTTAGTGTGTGACTTTAAGATAAATATTGATGTGTACACCTAGAGGTAAAGAACATGTATCAGTGTGAAGCTTTACGTTAAATATTGATGTGTATACCTAGTAGTAAAAGATGCCAAAAGGCTTAACCCAAATAATAACTTTCAAAAGTGTGAATCCTCTGATTTAAATATTACTAAAGTTTAAATAAACACAGCGATGTTTTGATTTCATGTACAATTATTCTATATTATAATTACTTTCAACTTACTTCAATGTTGACCATGTTATCCAACAATCCGTCAGCATACATCAAAGAACTGTTTCCCAGAAACAACTCTTTTAGTTGATGCATTTCTGGTTCCAGAACATTGATCAGGTTTATGGAAAGATCGAGTCTACGTAGTTTCGTAAGGGAATCAAACGCATTTTTATGAATAGATGCGATTTTGTTTGCTTGTAAATATAATTCCTCTAAGATTATAAAGTTTTGAAACTCAAATTTGATCTCCTTGATTTCTCCATGTTCCATCCACAGACATAAAAGTCTCATTCCTACGTTAGAAATAGCTCTTGGTATGGATTTTGTTTTACCATAGTTTAATCTGAGTTCAACAAGATATTGAACGGTTTCAAAAGCGTCTGGATCAATGGTCTTCACATCCACATGTCGCAAGATAATCTTCTGTATTGTCAGGTTGGCGAAAAGAGATGTGGGAATGTGGGATATATTAGAGTTACTGATATAAACATGGTTTAAAGTTTGGTTTTTCAGGTCTTCGTGTAGCACACTAGTCAACTGTGACGTGTCAGATATGTTAAAACAGTTAACATTTAAAAACTGACCTTGGTATTGACAAGTACAGTTCTTCAGCTGAGGGCACTGGTTTTCAGAAACTTTCACCTTGACACTAGATAAACAAACAAACGGAAGAACGATAAACCAGACGAGAAACATTGTTGGACAGAAATGGGATCTTCTGAAGATCAGACTGTTGTTTCATTCAAACTTGTTGTTGATAATTGTAACAAACGTTGTTTAAAACAAGGTAACGTTTATCAGAACTACGTAATATTACTAAACTTCCTGTTTGATGATGCACGTGCTTAACAAACGAGGAATAAACAAGTAAAGAAACGGAAATATAAAGATAAGTTAGTCATGATCTTTCCTTCTAACATGTTAATATTAAACACACGATGTTGAAAAAGTACGTGTAGTTATTTTGTCATTGAGTCTGATTAAAAAGACACAAGATGAAGAATTCACTTTACGTTTGATAAAAACGTTTTTCTCCTTATAATATAAACACTCGATAAGATAAGACGACCCAAGTCACCGTCAGTAACATATTCTATGTGCTAGTCATACGTGACAAATTATCAATGATTCTAACGGAATAACACTACACAGGTTCGTGGGCCAGTTCGTTACTTGGATACAATACACAGTTATTTGTTTTTGAATAAAATTATAAATTGTTTTATAAAGAAAGTTGCTCTAAATATCAATCGAAACTCTGAGTATAGATAAACACCAAAGGCCAGAATATTCCAGAGAATATGTTAACCTGGGACATTTCGTTAACCACTTTACAGCCACATTTCTGTGAATACTTCAATATAGTCGCAGAAAATTGAATTTGATAAAAAAAAAAAAATCGGTTTTCAAAAGAAATTTAACTTTTTGCTAATTTTTCTTTGTAAAAAGTATTTTTATTATTAACGAATAACATACAAGGGTTTCGATTGCTATGTATAACGTTATCACTGTGAATTTGCAACAGAAATTGTATTAAAGAGTAGCTATCGGTTAAAATTACAACATTTGAACAGCGATGAGTGAACTAATATTAAAAGTGGTTAAAATTACAACATTTGAACAGCGATGAGTGAAATAATATTAAAAGTGGTTAAAATTACAACATTTGAACAGCAATGAGTGAAATAATATTAAAAGTGGTTAAAATTACAACATTTGAACAGCGATGAGTGA